CAGGATCGTAACAGACATCCCATAGAAAATGAAATTGCATTACATTTTCAGTCATTTATTTATTTATTACATTTCAGTGTGCAGCAGATCCTCAAGTAGTTTATTTTCTTTAACTTATGGGTGTATCTCTGGAAGGAAACACATGTTTCTCCTCATGGTCAAGTCTGGAAGTTGCAGTTTAAATTTGATGAAGTGTTTTATTCCCCCAGATAAAAACAAATAAATAAAAAATTAGATTTAAATGCATTTGTTGATGAGGAAAGTCAGGAATCCTCTAATTAAGACATTTCTTAGAAAGGTAAAATTTTTATCTGGGAGCATAAAACACTTCATCAGTTTTAAAGCCACATCTGCAAGCAGTGGATAAAGAGGAGAAACAGGCATTTTTCTTCATTCTGGCTTGTCTGTGAGTTTAAGACTTTTAACAACTCTTTTAAAAATATTTAAACCCAGTTAGAAACACTTGCAATATAATAGGGATAAGAGTGCCCTCCCTCCCTCTGTTTTTAATCTGGTTCTCTTGATGGAATAAACTACAAGGTTGAATTGGTAACTGGATTATTGCCTCATAAAACAGCACGAGGTTACTATTATCCTTTAATTTTATATCTTTATTAGGGAGTAATGTTGGTCTTATTTAAATCACTGAGTTCTCTAATGGTTTTTCTCCCCTTTTACAAATTTATAAAACTAAACCCTAAAGGATTTGGTCTAAGTGCAATTGGCATAACTGCCATTATAAAAATCTTTGTGCTAGCAGTTGGTTATGATCAGCCACTTTAACTGGGCTCAGAATACAGCAGAATTTAGCTGTTGATAGGTAGAATAATACTGATAAAATATTATTTCTGAATTTTATTTCAAAAAGCTCCATTTCCAGTAAGAACTTCTGAATTTTGAGGCAGTGTAAAGATGAACAGCAGTGCCCTGGAAACTTACAATTTAGCATGTATTAAACATATTTTGCATTTCTACAAAGACTTAAAGAAGCTTGTCTTTGTCTTGCAATTCAGTAAAGTAACTTTGAAAATTCATGAAAGTTAGTCTTTTTTAGAAGGTGACTAATACGAGTGGCATATTTAATTACATATTCCAGTGAATACACCCACCTGAACTTTGAGACACAACACATACTGTGGGTGAATCATTGGCAGTTCTTAGTAGTAAAACTCCTATGGATTTGTGTCATCAGGATGTATTTAAAATTTTGATACACTGGGTTGCTGTTTTTTTTTTTTTGAAAATGTGAAATCCATCTGTTGATCTGAGTGTTCTTTGATTAGGCATCCATCCATAGGGAAAGAAGCATGGGTCTGTCTGTTCTGATGTAGCTCTGTAGTTGAGTTATAGTTGAGTTTTATACAAAAAGTGAAGTATCTGCCACCTTCAGTGTCCGACTGATAGAATTAGAGCATTTACTTTGAATGCAAGCCAGGTATTGACTTTTCAGTCAGTATTGGATTATAGTGTACTTAGAAACTAGTCAAATAATTTGCTACAAATTTTATATTTTGACCATTTTTTTTTTCTGAGAGCAATCTTGCTAGTGCAATGACATGAACACACCACAAACTTTTAATTAAATCAAAGCAGATTTTATGTTTTAGTTATTAATGGAATATTTTAGTATAGTCATAAAAAATCATCTCTGTGTTTGCAGAGTCCTTCTTTGATTTGGACTTCTGCAGGCAGTGCCATGTAGAGCTGCTTTCTCCTAAAATATCCATTGCTCATGGCAGGCTCCTTTCTGAAAATTGCCTATAGTGGGTAAGAAAACCTTCAATTCCCCTTTTAGCTTCACTGAACAAAAACTGGAGAAGATATTTACAAATACAGGAGAGAGGGCTCCACACTGACCACAAAAATCATGGGAAGTGATTACCGTTTTGGTGGAGGCATTGTGGGGGAAGATCGATGCCTTGGATCCCTCTGATACTGAGAGGAGATTAAAACCATTTTGAAAAACCTGAATTATTTTCAGCTGTATGATACAATAAAATACATGCAACATTATTTTTTTAAGTATGTCTTTTCCTTATGTTACATAATGGCAAAAATTAATTAAATGTGAATGTAAATAATTTTGAAACTTAGGCAAGAGGGAAGAAAAACAGGAAGGTGTCATTTGGTGGCAGGAAAAATACAGGTGAAACTTGAAAGCAAAGTAGACTGAGGCTGTGCATTTATATGTGTTCTAGAAAATATCCAATGCAAAACAAAATGAATTTTTGGGAGTTACGTTTTGGGGAGTAAGTGGAGGTATGGCAAGTAAATGGCACTTGAGATTATGAGAGGAGGTATTCAAAGGGCAATGCAAAGCAGTGGGTGAGAATATGTGGGTGCCATGGGTTGTTCCACACAGCTTCCATGGCTCTGGCTCCTTTCAAATATTCTGCAAATGCCAATACAGCTGTACATGTTTTTTACCTCGGTTGCGTTTATTAGTGCTTGCTGGTCAGAATTTAAAACAGAGATCTATGATATGTTTATATTATTGAGCACAGTCCAAGGTAATTCCTTGTGGCGTCTGCTTGATAAACAAATCTAGGTAATATTGATAAGCAAATCCAGGAGGTTTGGGTTCTTAAGTGTGTATGTTCATGTATTGGGTTTTTTTTAATGCAACATGAACTTTGATTAATAATATGATTATTGAATATATGAAATATCCCTGTCACTTTTTTTTTTTTGTTCTAAATTATGCAAATTTGTGTAAGTCCAAAATGGATCTTTTCTGAGAATGGAGATTGTAAAATAATCATGTAGCTTTATAGTTAGGGTTACCATGATCATTCAGAGGCAGAACTCCTGGAAAATAGAAATTTCCTGTTGAAGATCTCCATATTTGATGAGAATGATTCACCCTATTAGAGAAGGTATAGACATAGCAGATAATTAGGATAATGTCTGTTATTTAGCACTTTGCAGGGAGCCACTTGTTATAAACCACTTTGTGTATTTAATTTAATCCTAAAGGAATTTAATGAACCTTAGAGAGGGGACTTCACACTGATAATTGCATAATAACCTATTTTTATGCCAGACACTTAATGGCTAAGAGGTTATCATTAAATGTGTATTAAGCAGTTCTCTTCTATAACTGTCTTTCTAAGATGTTCTCTCATGGGTTATCATTTGTTGACTACTTAAACAGCTGCCTGTATTCAACATTTTAGCTTCTTTATGGGTTTGTTTTCAGAGCTGCTTTTTCTCTTGAAGGAGAAAAACTATTTTAGATAGTTCCCAAAATAATACTGAAGGTGCTGAAGCACTTTACATTAAATTAGTCTTCATATGGGAACTTTGCTTCAGATTTTAGTGAAACCACAACCTCAGTTAGGGTGTTTGTTTATTGCAGATTTGCTTTAGAGGACCATAGACTAACATGCTGTTTTTTAATCTTCTCTTTTAATTTAGACTACTGAGCTGTAAATTGAAAGGAAGATAATTTCTGCTTGTGGAGGAAAAGAAAGGTGAATAACCTCAATGGAAGACTCTCAGGATCTAAGCGAACAGTCAGTAAGTACAAATGTTGCTAAATTGAATGGAATAAATTGAACTCTGTTCAACCAAGTTGTGTGAAAGGATTTTACTTTGGATTTGAAAATTATAGTAGGATCTGGGGAAATCTTCCAAGCTCCTAGTTTTAAACCTTTTAGTTTGTGCATTAAGAGAATGGGTGGTTTTAATATTTTTTCCCCTGTTGAAAGGAACAAGATCTTTGTTATGTAAGATTTTGCGGAACTACAATTGTTAGAGGGATATAATTAAGCTACATTGGAAGAATAAAATGTTAGAAATATGAACAGTGGTATGCCTTGTTCAAATAATTGCATTAAAATGTATCTCCACAGTGGTCTGTCAGTTTTTCCAAAACAAGGGTTACCAAAAACAGAAGCAAAATATTTCAAATGGTCAGACTGTGGCAGATGACATACATTAATTTTTTCAGGATTCTCTTGTATTTCAAGGGGATTGTGAGACCTGGTAGTCTATCCCCCTGTCCCATTTCAGAGAGAGATTCTTCTTTTCACTGACGACGTTTCTGGGAAAAATGTGGTGGACATTTCTTCTCGTTTTGCCTTTCTTATTTTTCTTTGCCTTTAAGGATATCAGCTCCAGATCTCCCCACCACCAGACTGCAGTTCTGAGGAGACAGCAGGCTCTGAGCAAATACAAAACTATCTGGGCTTGCCATCCAATATGTTTGGCTTTTTAGCATCTTAGTTTTCTGCTGTTTCTTACTGCTTACAATAGGGACACATTTTGCCAGTACCATGATCCCTATGATTCACTTGGACTTAGTGTACTAAAGATGAACAAAGGGATTTATTATTCCTATTTCTGACATGCTAAAGGAGGTTATCCATGCAATAAACCTGTCTGAATATATATATATATATATATATATATATATATATATATATTAGAGACTTTTAGGGGTAACACAAGTGCAAGGAAGTGGAAAGAGTTGCAGTGTTTCTAAAAGGTCAGTAATTTTCTTTAATAAGGAGTACTTTTCTCCTGGCTGGGTAGCTCCTATCTGAGACTTTATCTTGGATTAGAATTTTATTACTGATTTTAAATGGTACAGGACTGGAAAGACTTAACAGTGTCTTAAGTCCTCATGGTGGCACTACCTGGGACAGCTGAACATATTTATGTATTTAAAGTGTTCCCAAGCAAAACTTTAGGGCCTGTAAAAGCCACATGGCTTCATAATTTAATAAAGTTTTATAAAAGTCATAAAAGATTAGGCAGAAGTTCATCTCTTGCAGTCTGTGAAACAATTTTTCTGTGGAGTATTCATGGTGTGGTTATTAATAGGAGGTAGATGAGCCAGTTTAACTTACTGCAAAAACATCTTTCCGTAGTAGTTAAAATGTTTTTGCAACACTGGATGCCTGATAAATGCATATTTTAGAAGCAATTTTACTACCCCATCATAGTTTGATCTCTCTAGTATTTCTCATAATTTCTCATAATTTCTAGCTTTATGCTACATGTGAAAATGGTCTGCAGATTGCAAATTGAGGTGAAATCTGTGCTGTGTTGCATATGAAGGTAGGATTTGCTGTCTTTATGCTAGTGTCACAAAAAGTCATGATTCAAGACAAGTTTATTCTTCTTACTCTTCACAAACAGTGTCAGAACGTGAAGGTAATGGGTGGGAGAGCCATTTCATCACTCCCTGTATCCAGGTGGGTGCTGAGACTAAAGTATCACCAAGAGCTTGGGCAGAGTCCTGGGAATTGTGTGAGGCCTTTCTGCCTAGAGCAGGCACTAAGCCTTCATTTCCCAACTTCAAAAGCCATTTCACTCTTACATCATGGTTAAAGTTCTCTCAGCCAATTTCCAAATAAGAAAATAGTGTCTCTGGCTTAGTTCTTTAAACAGGGCATGTCTGTGGGCTAGAGATCTCAGGAAGCAGGAGGCTTTGCTGGTTTAAGTGGTTTAAACTCTAAGAAGATATCAGATGTATCTGCTTCAACTGTAGCTGTGCTGTTTTGTACTGGTTAATGTGTTTTATACTGGTTAGCTCTGGGCAGTTTCTGCCCATCAGGCAGGATTTCTAATTCTTGATGTGTTCAGGGAGCACAAGTACTTCATTCCAGCCTCAAAATGTCTTTCAGAAGTTAAATGCATAATATTTAGATCATGAAAATTCATGGCGCATAAGGAACTAGCCTCTACCGCATGTGTATTAGATTGTGTGAATAAGCATGAGGGCAAGACCTGTGCTCAAACTTGTGTTGATACCTTGGTTTCAAATAGTCTAGTCCTTGGTTACTTTAAAGACTGCCTTTCTCTGCAGCTGAGATGGGTTAGAAGGTGTTTGCTTTTGCATGGTGTGTTTGATGGACAGTTGAGTTTTCTGAAGAGAAAGATTCCTTTATTGGATTAATTTCCCTGGGAATTATGTTAAAGAAACTTTCATCCTTGGGAAAAGAAGCCAGGCACAGTTCCTTGGTACAGTGAATAAGAATAATTTTCAAGTTTTTATTTTTTTTTAAGTTTTATTTAAAGAAAGGATATTATTCTAACTTTTGAGAGTAGATCATCTTCCTGAGGCATGATATATTGTAGTGTAGCTTTTATTCTGTCAGTCTTCTCCGTAAGTCTGAAATCACTATTATTATTTTAACTAAAAAAAATACACCAATAAGAAATTATTAGTTCTGTGATTCCTGTCCTGAAAGTATTTCAGTTAGGTGAAACTTATATGATCATACCTAAGAGCAACTCCACAGCATCCCTCTTGAGACAAAATTTTATGAGAAATAAATTCTTCCCCTTTTGTCTCATAACAATGATCTGTGCTCCTCTCTTCTCAGATCTTCTGAAGAATTGTGTTTGACTGAATTGAGCAGCTGCTGTTTTCTGAGATGCCAGCTTGATTAGATGTTATAGATATCTATATATACATACACATTATGTCAGTAATTTATTTGTTTTTCCTATTTTTGATCAGAAGTCAGTCTACTTCCCTAATTGGTGCTGTAGAGCCTCTGTATTGGGAAACCTCTTGTGCCTCCTTTCCTTGCCTTCTCCTGGGTGGAAGAGATGAGAGAATCAAGTCTTAATCAAGACCATTCAGCAAGAAAAAGAGTCAGAATCAGAATAAAGTTTATTATACTCTGGCTTTCCTGTCTTTACTCACAACTGAATAGTGAATAGCTCTATTTTGAAGACCAGAAGGAAAATGATGCAATTTCCTAGCTGATGCGGAGGTGAGCTGGGTTCCATCAGGTGCAGCTGAGATCCAGTGGATCCTTGCAGCTGGCATGGAGCAGTCTGGGATGAGGCATATCATGCTACTGTACTTTCTAGGGTGGGTATGTGTCCAAAAAAGCTCACAACTCTCTTTTCCTTTCCAATTTAGATGCAGAATATATTTGTACATCTATGCATAGGACTTTCTTTTAATTTGTGGGAAGGATCAGTTAATAGTATTCTGAGTGAAAAAGAGGAAAATAGTAAGACATGTATTGCACAGATAGAAGAAAATAACCAAATGATCCTTTTCATGTTCTGGTGTGAGGTTTGTCATCAGGTTCAGGCTACTGGTTACCAAGTGAAAGGATACTTAAAACCACATCAATTGATCTTACATGGACAGATGATGCTATAAGTTCTATTTGTTTTGAAATGGAAAAGAAGGAAATTTTACACATATTGTATTTATGAAGAGGGAAAAAAAGCTTTTCAAGACTGATCTTGAAGATGATAAATAAAACTATAATTTTTTAGCACCTAAATAGTCCTCTGTTGTGCTTCGGTATAGCAGACACATTTAGGATTTTGAGAACTACAGGTTTACACTCTTTATTTTGTCTCTTTTAGTCATCACTTTCTGTTCAGTCTGTATTAGTAGAAGAAGAACAATTTGGCTGCTAACTTGCTAGTTTAAGGTTTCAAAGGGCCTTATTAGAAACTGGTGTAATTTCATCCCCTGGCCCTTTTATATAACAGCCTGCATATTTAGATTACTTCATTTTAACCTAGAATTAAACAATAGATTGCAGTGCTGTAGGACAGGACACTAGCAGATGTGAAGCTAAACGTGAATGAACAGGTTTTTATTTTTGTGACATTTGGACAATCATCCCCCTTGTGCCCTGGGTAAGTTATTTGTTTTTTATCAGATTGTACAGACTGTTATATCTGTTACTTGCATTTATGGCCCACTTGCAGATGGACAATCCTTGGCAACCTTTTTTGGACAGTGTTGTTTCCCCGTTTTTGTTTTATTTTAATGTGTGAAGCTGTCAGATGTGATCCCTTTGCAGATCAGTTTTCAGCTGCAGCTATTTCTCCGTTGCCCAAGCCCTGTACCTGCAGCATTTATCCTTCCCTATATCTGGGGTGGGCAGCCTGCTAGCACTTTGGCTGGAGCTAATTGCAGAGAAATTAAAATTAGTTTAAACACTTTACCTGCTTTGTTTCACTTTTCTGCATTGCAGCATAGCATGTTGTGGTTCTTATCTCTGTTATATTATTATTTATAGGACTTGGAATATTACAGGCAATTCATCTTCTCAGGTTAGTGATGTTTCTTGAAAGAGATATCTGGAAATGATCTGGAAGTGATCTGGTCTAGCTTCTGGTCATGAAATGCTGGCAGTATGCACAAATACTTCAGTTATGAGAGCAAGGAACATTTAAGATCAGTAAGTGAAGAAATTACAGATGTAGTAAGAAAAAAATTGTTTTCTTAATGAGTGATTTTAGTTAAAATCAGTCATTTAAGAAAAATGCCATAACTTCACCTCAGCTGTAATAGAAAGTAATAGAAATCCAGGCTGTCTTTTCAAATTATTTTTGAGAATCACTAAGATATTTTACTACCTCTGTTCTACAGGCACAGTATCTGCCATAGAGATGTGGTTTGCCATAAAGGATCCAAAATTATCACCCATTTTGAATTACAGTAGATAGGAATAAATTGTAATACCATAATTCCTTGTCTCTCATCTAATAGGAATTAGAGGTAGAAACATCAATGTTGTTCTCTCTCAGCTGTAAGACCTTTACATATGACATAACAACTGTTATGAACACTCAATGTTTCTTGTTCTTTCCTTTGTGCTCTACCACTTCAGCATTCTGTCATTTCTATACAATAATCCACCACTTTTTAAAAACTGCATTAATAGTTTCATATATATTTTATTTCTGTCATTTACCAAATGGGACAGACCAAATGCGACAGCACTCAGAAGCAATTAATGCATTTTGACATGCAGAGTAAACTGAGTAGAGTTGTGTGTCGTGTGAATTGCATATCATTGGAGAAATAGTTTGGCATGAAAGGTACGAATGTTCACTGTTGATATGCATGTAATAGAAATGTGCATTTTTTCTGAGCTGGTTAAAATTCTAATTTGAAAGCAGATTTATTGAAAAGCTCAGTAAGAAATCTCTTAATGTATCCAAGAGAATTCTACAGAATAATATCCATGACTTGTAAAATTGCAAGATGGGACGAGAAGAGGTGTTGGCAAACAAACAGAGATGCTCCTGTCATTGTCACTGCCTTGTTTCTTCTGGTTTAGCTCTTTGCCTGTCTCCTGGAAGATGTTACCATGTCAGGTTTAAATGGAAAGGCACAGTATGGGCTTTATTTAATGATGAGGAAAACCAATAAAATAAAATATTCTGCTGTCACACACTGTCCTTGGACTGCTGACAGGGACTGACACATAGCTACTATATAGCTTGTTATTGCTGGTATTTTTGGCTCCAGAGAGGCCCCAGACTAGAATTTTAGGGATAGAACTACTTGGAAAAATTGCCACTGCCTTAAGCTACATGAACTTTTCTCAAGGTAGATACCGTCTTCTGCACAGGGGTCTCCAGGGTTCCTGGAGCATGAAATTCTTTATTACTAGTGATGTTACAGCCCTGATGTGATATGGATATCAGAGATGGCTTCTATTGTATTGTAACAGATAACGCCACTAGAAAAAATAAAGGCAAAATTTTGCAGGTGGAAAAATTGTCTTCAAGGCCTGAAAATGGGGCCAGCTTAGACCTTCTTTGAATTCTCCACAAGGACCTGTTCACCTAAGAAAAGGTTTGTATCTATGCATGCATACATAAGATTTGGAACATGAGAGTCAGTCCAACAAAAGTATTATCTCTCTCTATAAATGGTGCTTTCTTAGAATAAATCAGAATCTGACAGGCACATTTCAAGCTCTGCAGATGAATTTTGCTTGTATGATATGATACTTGTTCAAGCATTTAAAATTCCAAATTTATAAATACTATACTTCTAATTTATTTTAATATTGAATTTTAACTTAGAATTACTTACAAAATTTCCAAAAGTGTCCATGTCTGTCCAATTTGTGATAGCAAAATGAAAACACAAGTTTCCTATAGCACAGAGATTGTACATCAGCTTGGGCTTCTGATTTTGACAGTGTCCAGGTGCAGAAGACCTACTTTCTTCTTCAGTAAAAAGGGCTCAGGGTTTTGTAATGAAAACAAAATATTCAACAACATGACAGTAAATCAATCTTCTCTAGCTTTTTCATTTTGCAAGGCTAAATGCCTAGTGCCTTCATGCCTATTAAAAAACTAAGTCTACATTTTCATATGAAAAGCATGGTTTACACTGAACATACATTAAGTTTCTACTAATTTGATTATTGTAAAAGTCCAGATGCAGCAGTGTGCTGAAGAATGTGTGGGACTTAGGGGATGTGACTAAACCCAGGGATTTTTCATGTGCTTTAAGTTAGGCATGTGCTTAAATACTTTTCTGGAAAAGACTTGGAAATACAGTACAAAATAAAAGCAGTAATTTCAGAAATATTTTACTAGCAAATACATCTGAATGATTTGTGGCTGTGGCTACTATTTATTCAGCATTATGTAACAGTCATGGTTTCTTTCTTCTCCTTATAGTAGCTTTTGTCTGAGCTTTACCTACATATCCAAGTGGTTGACTTGCAAATCAACTTGTATTAAAATAGAGAAGAATGACAGGGAGAAATATTAGATAATTTTAAAATAACAAAATGACGCTAGGCAAATAATCTAATTTCCTATTTCATAAAGTATGTCTTAAACACATTGGGCACATGCAGGTCCATTAAACCACACTCACATCCTTATCTTCTCTTGTATTTGGTTAAATCTTTAGCAATGTGAAGATGTTAAAATCATTGACATGTTCTGGCTACAGTAGATAGAAATAATTTTGCCATGATATAACTTAAGGCAGAATTTGTCCCAGAAGATCCCATTGGAATAACAATGTGAAACTCATGTTGTTTATTTATTTATTTATTTATTAGTTAAATAATTCATTTTAAGGTTTGTTCATGCTTCTCCATACTCTTGAAAGCAACATCTAATGCTCTATGAGAGTATTGTCGTGGCAGCATCCTTTGCCTTATGTCAGCACTTGGACTTCAGCAGTGATTATGCTTTAGTCAAAGAACTCACCAACCCAAATATGAAGCAGATTTCATCTCAGACACCCAGAGATTTATGTTGGAGTGTTACTTTTATAAAGGCAAACTCTAGGTGAGAAACTAAGAAACTAGGTGTGTTTAACTGAAGATTGAACAAACCTCTTCTTAAAAGTGGCAGAAAACCTAGTTTATTGTATCTCTCTTTTTTTGTATATAACAGCAGGGGAATTAATGTTAGCTGACCACGATTCCATGATTTGTTTGTTTGTTTGTTTGTTTTTGGTACTGGAAGCAATGACTATTGGGATTTCTGTCATGAAAAAGAGCATCTTTTATAGTTCAGGTCTAGTTGTTCCTGTTTTTGTGAAACCTTACTGGGCTTTAAATTTTTTACTCTTTGGTCTTGGGCCACATGAAGTTTTTCTTTATGTGATTCAGTCAAAGTATACAAGAGAAGGAGCTAAAGGAAACAGCTCTTATTTCTGAAATGAAAAATAATGTTTTTCTCATTTCAGTTAGCAATGCTGTTAAAAAATTATACAGGTTTTCAACTTTCATTTTGTCATGCAGTCACCTTCCCTGTGGGGCTCCTCATGTCTTGCAGTGAAATGTATTGGGCTGCCATCTGAGCTTTTGGGGATTTACAAAGTAACAGCCCACAGCCTGGGAGCCTAGTGTTGCTGGACATGGCAGTGTAGATACTAAATTCCATC